CCTGAAAAAAAAAAAAAGCAGTAAAGGAGTAACAGCTTTAGTCACAGGGTGTTCATTAGGCATCGGAGATCGGAGAATTCTCTGTTCATTGTACAGAATTCTCTGGGTAACGTGCGATAGCCTATGACTTCTTTTTGTACAGACATGGAGGCTTTTTCAAAATATTCTCCTGTAACATCACACCTTTCTCCTGCTACAAGAAGTCTTACTGACGACCCTGTTAGTCATAAAAAGAATGAATTATACATTCACTGTACAAATCAATGACTAAGAACTTTCAACTGTAAACTGAATTAATTATTCGCTGTTGTTATTTTGCTGATAACTAAGCACCTTCCCAAAATGCCAAGACTTGGCAGCCACATATGATCTCTTGTGAGAGGAACTATCACTGCCGGTGCTCGGTCGAGCTAGATATTTTGATTGGGTGGCCATTTAGAGGAGCTGGTTACCGGTACTTATAAGAAGTGATTGCATATGGAGATTCATTAAAATGTGGATATGACTCAAAAGCAGATTATTTCCCCCTAAAGGTGCTGAACAAACAGGAATGGCTAGTAGTAAAATCTGAGACTTATCAAGAATCTGAGACTTTAAGCAAAATGGTCAAGACTTCAAGATGAAAATGAGTACCGTCACAAAAAATGAGAGCTTGAGACTCATCATAACCATTCCAAGATTCAAGATCGGCTCCAAAATTTTTTACGCACCATTGACCTTGAAGCTCACACAGTACTTACCTCATAGCAAGTGGCAAAAGCATCGCTGCTTCCAACCCAAACCTAAGATGAACGCCACGAAGTGTCCTTGTCCGTGATATTTCACTCAAAACGCTGCTACAAGCCGATCTTCTCTCTAATGCAGAACCTGAATTTATTGGTGGTAGCACAGGAAAGCGAGCAGCAACATCTCTCACTATCATGGCATCGTGAGATGAACCTGGAGGAAATCCAGCATGGTGACCAGGAGAGTTGTTGATAAAGTTTTCTTCCCACCAACACTTTGCATATACACCACTAAGATTTGAACCTTCTTTCTTGATTCCACTTGACACTCTTTCCTGTTTTACAGTGATAAATATTAATGAAGTTTCATAATAAAGGACAACTAAGTCCGTGTCTTAAATGAAGGTGAACAACCTCACTACATTAAAATTGCCTCAACAAAAGCTCGGATGTGCCAGCAGGTAAAGAAATATAAAAATACCTTTGAACTATCCATTTACAGGAATTTACATGTGTAATAAAATTTAAACAATTTTAGAAGTATTCAAATTGATAACTCCAGCCTATACCAGTAATTTAGAATACTTACAGTGCAACAAACATAACTGAGGGTTATTTATTGTTCTTAATAGTCTTGACTGGCTTACAAACTACTAAGTCGGATGGCTTTGCTATGAATGTGACTTTTGATTGACCAATAAAATGTTGGGGACCCTGGTTGACTTTGTTGTACTTTAATATGTACAAGTCATAACATTTTGAGTGTTGATTACACACAGTTACTGGTATTTCTTATCAGACCTTCCTTTTAAGTGTGTCTTAGATAGAGTGTGTTGTACATTAAGCAGTTTCGACCCAACATAAGTCCGGCCTGTCTTCTAGCAAGATATTTTTAATGAAAAATTTCCACACCAAAGAAGTGTACTGATAGGTGATAACAATAATGGTAGCGACTATAATTCAAGCAAATAAAAACACATTATAAGTTACCTGAAGGTTGGGATTAATAACAAAAATTGATTCTATTCTATCCAGATCTGTTATGAGCCAGGGTCCACCAGCCCTAAAAAAAAAGATGAAAAACATGATATTTAACTGAATAAAACACATGCTGATCTGCCTCCTCCTTACCAAATAAATAATAACAAATGTAAAATACAGGTAGTTACGGCATGATAATTATGTGGTGTTAAAATACCTAATACATTAAAATGAAATCAATATTTCTTTAAACATGCAGACAAAAATTGTTGTTTTCATTTGTAGAAATGAGAAAAGTAAAAAATAGGCAACAGTTCAGTGAGGAAGATATAACAACTTGTACCATTTAGAATCTTGAGGATTCCAAAAGCATAATTTTTCTCTAAATTTCCACCATAATATCGTTTTATGAGGGATCATATGTACACCACTTACGGGGGAACACTTCGCAGAAGATCCAAAACTGCAGGGCCATTCCAATGCTGAGCTGCTTGTAGTTCTTCTGAGCAAATTCCAACCACCTTTCATAAAACAAAGCCTCTTTAAATTTGATGACATTAACAAAACTATCATTTAGTTTTAAAGAAGTAATTCGCACAAATTTCTCCTAACATTTGCCTAACCTGTATGAAGCGCACAGATCCCAAGGGACTTGTAATCAGTGGCAATTGTGGGTCATCTGCCATTAACATGTGCTGTATGTGAGATGGGTTACAGTCATACTGACCAGCAGTGGAAGGCGTCTGGTCTAATGGCAAGTGCCACGACACATGGTCTCCACTCTGTAATGTGTTATCTGTTGAAGAAAAGACAAATTACAGGGCCACTCTCAGAACAATCAAAGAAAAAAATGTAAGTGAATTAAGAAAAATGGCCCATAAAATCCATTTCATTTTAGGAGATAGAAGATATATTATTTATTATTAATTTTATATTATACATACAGGTATTTTCTAGCGCATTTTGCTATGTTCTCTCTCAAGCTTTTGACTTAGATGTGTGACCATAGCTAGCGAAATGGTTTGTCACAGCAATGCATTTTTAAACCAACTGTAATCTGCACACCTGTTTGGAAAATATAACGGGCCAGAGACTGCAGTAATTCTGCTGGCCAGCTGGGTGGTGATGACTCTCCAGCTTGCTTTTTCAGTCGAAATGTGAGCTCAAACCCAAACCCACTAGGACCATCTTGTCTGGTAACCCTGTGCAAAATGATGATTTCATCAACAATAAGGAATTAATCTTAAGTAATTTTGAACAATATGCATGGATTTCTGATGCCAAGTGTCACACTCAAAGACATTTCCTTGCTTTTAGGGAAAAAAGATTAGATAGCTCCTTGACCAACCATGGCAAGGAGGTCCACTTTGGTCCACACTGTAGTAAAAGCTATCACTGTTGGTTGATGGTATGTGGCATGGTAGAAAGTTCAAGAAATTCTTTGTTTTCACTGTTACACCATCACAAATTAAACTGCAAACCATTCAAAACAGAAAGTCCCAAATCTGGGAAATGAAAGAAGATAAATATACAAAGAGCCTCGCAAAGAATCAGGTCTGTGCAACATTTCATATGTGAGATATTTGGAAAAAGGTTTTACCCAAATTTATAAAGCTTTGTATGGAGATGCCATGTTGGTGTCCCTTGGAGGGGCACAAATATTGCTGCCGGAAACCAACAGAAAGATCTGTCTTTGAGTGTTACTACAAATGCGCAAATTCATAAAGAACTCATAAAGATTAAAGTAATATTTATTAAGAGCTTTCCTGGCCACCAGCTAAATGCCATATCATGCAAAAGCCTGGAAATTCAAGTGTCCTCTATTGCAAAATGGAAAACCCTTTCCAACCGAAGATTTGTTTAAATAAAGGTGTTTTGCGGCAGTAATACCTCATGAAAGTAGAAACTCAGAAGAATCGACAATTCCTTCCTTTGAATTTTGGTGATGTCACATGAAAACCAAGAATATGTAAAATTTTTCTAATGAGCAATGCAACAAAAAGGTCCAGGGTGGAAATAAAGACATTTACTTGGCGAAAATAGGAGAAAATATGAATTGGAGAATCAGGAAATCAGAACCTATTTCTTTCCACCTACAGTGTACCTAACTGACAGAGACTGCAGAAAGTTCACTAAATAATGCACTCCTTACTCATGGACACGGCCATCACCATGGAGGTCTGATAGTCCAGATGAGACATAATGCCAGTGAGATGGAATACCTTCCATAGGACTCCCTGGATTATTAAACATACTGATGAAATCCAGTGGGTCAGGACCTCCAAGCCTGTCAAGATAAAGACACCACCATATATTAAACTGGAGTTCAAATGAAAAAGTGGTCTTGCTCAGGGCAGTCAGTGAGGTCTGAAACTTGCTTTGGAAATGGGATGTTTAATTTTTATCCAAACCCCTCTAAAGATTCTGAATCTTCATTTTTTGTGTCTGAATCTTTTGGAAACTTAAATCTTTTTAGTCAATTTTTATTAAGCACGTTTGAAAAGAAATCTGAAAGACTGAAATTTTGTCACCTTAGGGGATAAGAACACCCAATCCCCCTTTGGAAAAACGTGCCACCTTCAGCGGGGGCGGGAGTAGATGGAGGAGGTGGAAAAAAAAGTTTGAACGTCCCGATGGAACGTCACATCTCAGTATTGACTACCAGTAAGGGCATAAGTAACTACATGATTAACTTGCAAGTACACTAACCAGTATTTCACTAGTGCAGTGACTTGTAGCGGATTAGGTTGGTCGGGATAAATTTGTTTCAATGTGGTATAAATCGCTTGCAGTCCGCGAGGAGTGGGAACGCTTGGCGCAGGCATTGGAATTCCACGATATCCGGCAGACATCTTGATAGCTTCAGATCGAAGTCAGTATGTTACAAAATCCCTCCACAATTTTCTTACTTAGGTGGGTAAAACAAAACGACCAATGATTATCCACTAGAAATAGGGCTGGTGTTGAGTATAGTTGCGCGGAAAGTGAAAACTCAGAAGGTCAACTGTTCGTCAATCGACGATGATCTTGCTTGGCGAACGCGCCGAATGTCCGAATAGGACTGCCGTGTATATCCTAAAAAGTACCTGCTTCACCAAATTCAATAAAATCAACGAGCAAATTTAAGGATCCATGGAAATGCTCCAGCAAAGTGCTGCTGTACAAACAGAGTACTTCTGTTTGGCAAACATGAATGTCTGATGTGCAAAGAAGTATTGTGTTTGAGATAGACTGGGCCGAGTTCTTGACAACCAAGGACTTATGAAGGACTTATGGGATATCTCTTAATTCAAGATGGCGGCTGAACCACCACCAGCAAAACTTGATTACAAATCGCGTCGTTTGGTGGGTCAGATTGTTGAATATGTGAAGTCACAAGGCATTTTCGATCAATTCAGACGTGACTGTATTGAAGAGCTTGAACAAAAGGTTAGTTTAATATTTAGCTGAAGTCAGTAATTCTAATATCACATTCAATGATCTGCAACCTTCCATTTAAGTTTAAGCTTATTTCTCTTTCGCAATTCTTTGTGTGACAACTCTTGTTGAAGAGGAGATAAAGGCTCAAGCAATTCCAAACATGCCTATTCCCGAAGAATTTTTCGGTGTAACTCATGTATCAAAATGTGAGTTTCCACGCTGTGGCATTTGCCACCAAAGGTTTTTCCAGATGTGGGGCCGTTTGTCAGTGTTTTTTCTATCTTTTTGGCGTACATTTCCCTTTGATTTTTGATTTTTGCAAATTTCTTGTTCTTCCAGAATATCACTGTACACCCCAATACAGACTACCACCTAATTTTTCTTTAAAATGTCACAGCTTAATCAAACACAATGGGCATGAAAATAAAGTAAATAATGCCTATAATCAGTCAAGAAAACATTGTTAGACAGCCAGTTTAAAACACAGACTACAGACTGTGAAAAGATTGGGTATAAAATATCAACTGGGTATAAGAGATGCTTCAGAAATGACCAACTTGATATAAAATGGTAGGGACTGTTTTATACACAGCTCTAGGAAGGTTAACATGTAATAAACGCATTGTTTATTAGCGTAAAAGAGTAGTTCTAGCCTTCCACATTAATATTCCTTTGACTTTTTACACATTCTTGTCTCCCCAATGTACGTGGGGACGGCAAGCATTATGAAGCCTTAAAATTGTATAGGTGAAGAAGCTCATGACATTACTCGATGTTACTGAAAATGAAACTGAATTTGATTTTTTTAAAAAAGAGTTGGAGGACAATCCAGTTTACAGTTTAGCTTTAAACCAATGAAAGATACATTTATAAATCTGAAAAGCATCGAATCAAGAAATAAAACCAACTGACAATGGTGTTATCCCGTTAAATACTCCTTTTTGGGCTCTAAATATCAACTCTGTAATAAGTCATAGACCTACATTGGCCACAACTCTATTTCAATACCTACAATCCTGGACAAAACGTTTGGGACAGTTAGTCATTTACACATGATCTGTGCATTCTCCAAACATCCCCCTTCCCCCCTGGACAGTGTTGGGTGTTACTGGCCAAAAACGTTTGATTGTTAATTGACGATCACTCACCCATTTCCTACCAAAAAGAGGAGGGGGTAAGAGAAGTGTCCCAGACCCTTTTGGCCAGGATTGTAGGGTATGAGCAAACAAAGAACCCATGTGAGAAGGTCAATAGATTGGCACTTATGCAAACAATGCAAACAATGCTGTCTTTATCTTTATCTTTATTGAAACCATGTGTTGTGCTATTAAGTGATCTTTTGATCATATTTTTACCTTAAGTAGCCCAGTTTTTTAAACATATTCTGAATTCCGCATTTTATATCCAGTCCATGTTTTATACCCAGTCCACAGTCTGTGCTTTATACTGACTGCATGGTGAATGTAAAAAATAATGCCCTCGTCATTCTGAATGCCTGGCTTTAATGATTCTTCCTTGCTGTAAACAGGAATCTTATCGGCAGTTGACACAGAGAGTAGAAAGTCATGTAGCAACATTCTTATCTAAGCAGACATGGTCAGATGCCCTTCCTAAAAACCAAGTCAGAGACAGCTTGCGAAAACACATTAACCAGTAAGTTACGTTCATGAAGAGTGTAGTAGGTTGTTGCCTATGTTATTAACCCTTGGACATACCGTAGTTATTCGGTTATAAGGCGCACGGTTTTTTCAAGAAAAATCTGTCTTTGGGTGGCAAGTTAGTGCTAAAATTGGGGTGCGTCTTATAGCCAAGTATTTTCACGTAACAAAATCTTAAGATCACAATTTGAGAAGAACTTTTTGGTCTGCGGTGTAGCGAAGATTGCGTCTAATCTACATGCAAAGTCATACCCACACCATGGTACAAAAGGGGGGGGGTGATGGGACCCCTCCCTAGAGTTTCTGATGTGTTGCAGTATTTCAGAAAGAATTTTACCTTCAGTGGAAAGCCTTTGATCTTCTCTGCAAGATGAGGTAAATGTATATTTTATGGGTGGTGGTGCTGCTGGAGACCTGTAACATCACCAAACATGGTCGCCATCTTGGCCACCATCTTGGATTTTACCAAGAACTAGAAAACAGGTAAACAAGGTGAAAATTGGTATTTTTTTGTGCTTGACATGTAAAATAACACATAAATAAGTACTTGCTTCATTATTTTTATCCACAAGATTTTCTTTTATAGTTGAAAGAAGTTGGAAAAACATGCATTTTCACTCAAAAATGGCTTGACCACCTGGTGCTTGTGACATCATATCTCATAACCATAGTAACTGATCAATACTAAACTTGTTTCAAAATACACCTGGGGGATAAACAAACAGGTACTGAAGACGTCAGGTGCTAATGTTTAACAGTCTAGGGAAAAACTCAGAAAAACCTCACAGGGAGTGTGTGTGTGTGTGTGTGGGGGGGGGGGGGGGGGCATCCACCCTTCCCCCCTGCTTGTACATCCAATCGTTAAGTATTAGTATGCAGGTGCTTTGAATATTCAGGGTGGAGATTATATCATGCTATTTGCTGGTTAATGTTATCTGAATTAAAAAAATTGAGAAAAACACTCTGATAACATAACATACATAACATAAAACTTTATTTAAACTCGAATTTTAGAGTAGCTAACAAGCTAATATCTTCGAGCCGACACTACATAAAAACTATATAGAAAATATATGTATACATTAAATGCAAGGAAAGAAAATATCATTTACAATTCACAATTTTAAGTTTAAGTATGTCAGGCAAAAAGAATCTACATGAAGGTGACATCCTGTATTTTAGTCTTAAAGTCTGCGAAAAAACTGGTACGAAATCCATGTGTGCAATAGTAAATGGCTGACAATTTTTGTTCAGAAATTACGAGAGTTGTTCTGCTAAAGATGAGCATGGGTAAGAAACTTAGGCCGGGTGTCTTTTGTAGAGTCCACTCACTTTTTTCTTTTAATATAGATCAGAGGTCTTGGACAGAGGTGTAAAACAGCTTATTTCGCAAGCTCTTGAAAGTAAGTCCAAGGCTTTCCAGACTCGCATAGAAGGGGTGGTGCAGAACTACATTTACATGCAGAAACACCCTCAGAACCAAGACAAACAGAATCGCAAACGTAAGATGGGGCATGACAAAGAAGAGAATAAGCCATCAGTGTCTGAGGTTATTTGCGACATCAGTCAGCTCATTCCTGTGCCATCTACAACAGGTATATCTAAAGTCACAAATTAGTGGGTTGTAAACAGTTTTTCTTGTAAGAAGCATTTTAAAAATTGATAACAAGCAAGGTTCCTTTAGAAAGTGCAATAAATTGTATGCAATTGCTTAATCTTCTGCCATTTCAATCTGCAAGATGTTTTTGAGACTTTCATATAGTTATCCCAAAGGCTTACCTCTTACAAGCTTGGGCAACAGGCTCTTTTTTGCTGATTCACATATTAAGCTCACCCAGGGGGATTTACAATAATTTCAAGAAGGCTGGGTCAAACTGCTCATGCTTGAGTAACAATGCATGTTGGTAATGTGTTTGTTACAATCACATGGCTGCATGTCAGTATTCCAGGGATATTTTCCCTCACCCTGTGGCCCCTTGTAAACTCAATAAGTGTTTGACAGGTTTTGGGCGAATTTGTAGGATTGGCGGACACTTACTATGAGTGAAATTACTAGAAATGTCAGATAACCAACAACCAACAAGAAACTTTATTTATTTAATTCTATTGTGAAAGTTATTATTGTGTTATTTTATTAAGGTTCAAGGAATGAAAGTCATGGAGTCGAAAAAGGAAAATTGGGTGTTCAAGAAAGTTGTAAGAGTGCAGCAACTGTGAAAGGAATTCAGCAAGTGAAGAAATCCCACCTAACACAAGGAAAAGCAAGTAGTCCAGGAAGCCCTTCATGTAGAAAGGAACAAACAGAAGAGAGTAGCAGAACTAAAGAAGGAAAAAACAGGATATCAAGAGTAAAAATGGAAAGTCTGAGTCGGGATGATCACAGTCATATTCCTGCAAAATCTGAAGAAAGTGCGCACAAACTAAAAGAAGACAAACCAAAGATATCTCGAGTGAGACCAGACAATTTCAATCCAAACGAAAGTGTTTCTTCTCCTTCAGCAGTCGTCAGCGATAGTTCGAATTTCCTAGAAGTAAAGACCAACACATTGACAGAGGAGATTCAAAGCTTGACCCCAAGCCAGCTCTGCCAAACTGGTGAGGAAGGTGACGTCACTGGACTCCTGCAAGTGAAAAGTGAAAAGACAAATGACAGTGAAAGGTCTGTCTTGTCTTCCTTGGAGGGTAAGGTGCAAGTTAAGTCGGAAGAAAGCGGGACAACTGGAATTAAAACTGAGGTTGAAAGCAGCGAGCTTGCTATTCTCCATGGCCAGGAAAAGATTGTTGATGGCGATGAAAATGAAGGTCGGGTAAAAGTGATGGATGATGAAATTTCCAGACCTGAAGCCGGAATTCAAAGAAGCGATTACTGTGCTGCGACCCTAATAGTTGAAGAAACTGAGGACCGAAGAATTCCTGAGAAGAACACAGACGCAGCTATTGTGGATGAGAAGAAAACGAAAGAATCAGATGGAGAGGATAAGTTGGAAAGTTCAAAAAAATCGACTGATCTCGTCAATGAAATGGAGTTAACTAGGGAAAACAAACTTGAAGACATAAAAGATCTGGAAACGGAAAGCGAGATCACAAACATAAATGTTTTAACTTCTGACGTGAGCAAAGAAAGGACTGTTGACCTGCCAGCTACCAGAGATGTTGACGAATCGGAGGAGAAGCTTTTGTCAAGCGAGAAAGCAGGAGCTACAGATATGGCTAGTGTAAATGAAAAATCATTCCAGGAGCAGTCACTTTCCGATGAAAGAGGTCTTTTGTCTTTGCAGAAAAACGACATAGTTAGAAGTGAAGTGGGTTCCAATAAGGTGGAGTTACAATCCATGGAAAGAGACCATGACCATGCTGGTCACACTTCTTCATCCGATGAACATTCTGACGTAGAGTCAGACCTCTCTGAAGTATCATCGGTTCATACAAGCGATTTGTCATCATTTGACGATGAGATCAGTTCTTCAAGCGTGTCTAGTGATGAGCAAAATGAGGAAGCAGGCAAAACAGAAGCAAATGAGGAACCAAAGAGCGAGGTTCAAGATAAATCCAATACGCAGTCGCAAACTGAGAATGCTTCTGACGCGGCACCTATGCGACGTTCCACAAGGATCAGCTCGAGAAGAAGCACAAAGGAAGGTGAGAGTGAACAGTCAGGCGGAGAAGGTGGTAAAGCGACCAAAGCAGAGTACCAGCGCCAACGAAGGCACGGTGAGAAAAGACAAAGAAAGACTCATTCCAAGACAAGCAAAGAGCGTAGTGATTATTCTACCGTGAAGCGCAGGAGAGGACGACCTCGTAAAGAAGAGGCGCACACGTCAAGTCATTCGACCAATCAGAGAAGGCGTTCTAGAATACGTGATCCAGACGACAGCAGCTCGGCAGCAGGAAGGGGGTGCTCAGTAGCCGAGGACAGAAGCAAGCGATCGCAAAGACAAATTAAAAGAACTCGTTGTTACTCTCCGAGTAGTGAGGGTACAAGAGAAGTATTTCTCCCTCGTAAACGGAGCCGCGATGGCAACAGTTAGACTCTCCTATGTATCATCATGTTTAAAACAGGCTACTTGCCTTATCCTGGGTCAGAATCTGTATAGTTTGTTATCAACACTGCTTATTTACAACTTCGAATAACCCTTCGGTTTGGTATAATAGGGAGCTTGAGCACCTACGACGACGAAGACAACGTCATAAGACAATTGGTTTTATGAGCAAAACAACACATCTGTACGTGCATCGTGCTTTTTGGTTCATTTCTTTGACGTCCTCTTCGGCGTGAAACCTCTTAATGCGACGTTTACGGAGGACGTGAACATACGAAGACGATATTTCCTTTCTCTTTTTGAACCTGGATAAAGTCCCTACGAATTAAACCCCAGGAAAAGTCGCCTACTGTCATTTGACAAATTAAGCAGGTCAAATAGACGGTTTACGGTCATCTCGCCACCACCAAGAAGTCTAATCGCCACCAAGTAATAACTATGTAACAATCGACGTTGTAACTTATCTAGGATTTCTTACCCAGGATTTTTGCTTCTTCGCCAAGTTTATTCAAATTTGTAAACAGCAAATGGAAATTTAACGAGAGATAAACTTACCTGTTCGGTTCTTGAATCTGCTATCGAGAGAAGTGAAGTGGAAGTTATTCTACGATGCGAAAACGATGTTGGTGTCGGACCGTTAATTTCACAATGTTTTATTTGGTGAGTAAACACGTCGATTATTACAGAGTTATTACTTAGTGGCGATTAGACTTCTCGGTTGCGATTTGGTTGGCGGCGAGATGACCGGCAAAAAAATCGATAAAGTTTGAAAATCATTGTGGCAAGTCATTCCAGTCAAATGCACAAAAAATTCCCCACCCCGGGCGGTACATTGCTACCTTCGACTAAGTTTGACCTATGTTCTGGTTTCCTAGTAAATTCAGTTACTGACACCTCTTATTGAAATGCGACAACATTATCAAAATATTTTAGTCCCATGCAGCATTGTAGTCATTTCAAAACTTAAATAATAACCTTATTTTAAGCTCAAACTAAATTATAGAATATCAACTCTTGGCCCTGTTCCATGGGTAAGACATACATGTAAGAATGTGATGTTGGGTTCTCGTGTGAATAGCACTAAATAAATTTGTTTTTAAAGGTCTTGATTACTGGGGCAATTACTTCCGCATTATCTTCAAACATGGTCACGAAAATTCAAAATGATCCAAAATCGTTAAGGTTTTATCTCCTTATTAGACCTCTGCACGTTTTCAAACTGATAGAGTATTCCGTTTTGAAATACAGCTTCCGGTTACTTTGATACCGCAATATCTTAAAAGCGTACGTCAGTCGAAGAAAGATTTAAATATCCTCTCCCCCGGAGAACAAGATCAGTCAAATGTCCCTCCCCAGGGCCAACAAAAACAATCAAATCCCCACCCCATGCCCCGCACCCCCCTCCCCGCCGGCTTTACAATGATAGGTGCATAAGTTATAAAGTATAACTACTTGGGTCAAAATAATACTATAGAAATGGAAGATGTGACATGTTCTTTAGACAATTTTGCCTGTAATGTATTCCAGCTTTAGAGTTATACCAGAGGACGTAAAAACGTTTGTCATACATTGTTTAGATTTTTCCTCTCAGCACATTAAATTTATTGTTTGTTAATGGTTACTTGATAATAGAGTAAAATTAAATTACCAATATGTACACGTCACCAAAAACTATTTGCCATGGGTAAAGCTAATAACACGATTTCTAGACTATTTTCTGTTCTTTCTATTGCCAGAGAATTCTTTAAAAGCTTAAGTAAAGGGTTTAAAAAACTATCAAGGATTGCCACAATTTTGCACGCACAAAATACATTCATCATCTTGAAACAGCAAACAATGACAAGTAAAACTATACAACTGAGTGTCTACTACTGTAGATCCTAAGACAGCTTGTTGGACTGCACTTTAGAAGGCAATAGGTAATTTTCAAGTCCCGGAAACTATCTCTTTTAACATGAGGCTAAGTACAAAACGTTTCCTGTGAAAATAATGTTCGAACCAAAAGCTTAGCACTTACCCTTATAATTTTTATAGACTTATGGCAACTTAGGAATGGCCCATGCGCCACTTACACATCTCCCATAATGCACCTTATTTGCCCCCCAAAATTTTGTATAAGCATTGTTTTCAATTTCTCTTTAGACAGCTGTAATACCCAGGAGAAATGAAAAACAAAGGTTATACAAAATTTGGGGGGGGGGGGCAAATAAGCTGCATTATGGGAGATGTGCAAGTGGCATATTGTAAAAGCTTACACTGTCTAATAGAATTGCACTGTCTAATAGAATTACACATGTAAAGCTAAAGTAAAGTTCTCTTCAGGGTCTCTTGGTGTTGTAAAAGCTTACACTGTCTGACTTTAAGAATAGAATTAGTAAAACTTGTAAAAGCTTACGCTGTCTAAATTTAGGAATAGAAAAATTACACTTGTAATGCTAAAGTAAAGTTCTCCTCAGGGTCTCTTGGTGTTGCAGATACCTTTTCTTGGTTATCTGTTGTACTGTGGTGTCAATATTGTTCATTGTCTTGTTAATCTTTTGTGTTTGATGATCAAACCATCTGCAACACCAAGCAACTACAGTGTGTTCTTTTGAGAAAAAATAATTTAGAACTGGGATGAGAAGGAGGACTTAATTAATTTTCCGATCAATACATATGCGTGGAGTACAATTCCCTTGTTGCGCCTTCTGTAACCGTGATTTTCAGTCAGAAAGGTTTAAATAAATTGCCTGTATATTAACTCCTAGCTGTAAATAATTACAAAAACAACTCGAGACATCCATAAGTTCACTGAAGTGAACAAATTGAACTCTTTGTTTGAGTGGGTGCTGCTCTTGAAGGCATTTCATGGTTGCTGTATTGAATGATATCAGCCTTAATAACTCTCTGAAAGCAAAATGGTCAAGGAAAATCTTAAGAATGAACTCAAACATTTCTTGGTAATAAAGTCAAAACTTGATTATCTAGACCTAAATGAACAAGACCTCATGACAATCCAAGTTTTCATGCATGGTAATAAAATAATGACAAAGTTACAAAGATCCAATGATTTTGGTGAGCTTTTTTGTTGCTCACACATGCCTTTCTAATTTACTTAGGGTGCAATGTATGTGTATCGTCTGCATGTATGTCTTGCCTAGTCCCTAGGCCTCACTTTTCTCTAGGGCCCTATGCGTCTCGGGTCTTGTGGTCTGAGTGAGAGGAGGCTGTTAGTCTCAGGTACATCACCAAAATGCATTGACCTAGAAGGCCTAGTCCCTGTACAGAAGATGTCGCACAGGGACTAGGCAAATGTATGCCCATAATTGGGAATTTTTTATTGAATGCAACAGTGATAAATATGTATTGTGGAAATGAATCCACCTCCAGTTCAACTTTGTGTTAGTCCCTTAAATACCTGGCCCCAGTTGCTCAAAAGCTGGATAGCGCTATCCATTGGATAAATTACTATCTAGCGGATAAGTATTAGGGAAACCAATTGCACTATCCACTGGATAGAGATTTATCCGGTGGATACCGCTATCCATCTTTTGAACAACTGGGGCCAGAACTCTAAATTCTTAAAGATCATAAGTGTTGGAATTTTAACCACATCGTAACCAGAGCTTAATACCATAAACTGATGTGATACAAATCACTTTGACTTTGAAAATGACTACTACGCAAGTTGTCGAAACGTCAGTCACTGTCAACAACAGTCCTATTCAGGAGTACACTCAGCTGGACGATCATATTCCACCTACTTATGAAATGACTCCTGGGTTCAGACCGTTTACAGTTTAAAATGAAATATGTTGCATTAAAAAAAAGAACAATTAAAAACAAACAAAATTTTGACTCCCTCAAAACCTTTTTCATGCATGAAAGTAACAAACAATTACTAAAAATTATTGTGAACACTATTATTAAAGGATACAGACTGTTGTTCCATTTCATTCTTTGTTAACCTAATTCCCAATATTTCTGCAGCTATTTTTTGAAAGCAGAGGCTGATCTGAAATTGATACAATTTTATTCAGTTATTAGCTAAATCATTGCACTTTATTCCAAAGGTGTTAGAAATGTTACTTTTTATTTCTGTTTTGTTAATTAGCCTAAAGTTGACATGCAGAATTCAAGAGAAATTTTACTTGGAAACAAGGCATCAAGAGTCTGAATCAAAGACAAAACAATAATAAAATTTGATGCCATATGGAATATGGTGTATGAAACACGTAAAAGAAAGTATCTCATGAACAGTACTGAATTTACTTGAAAGAGTCTCTCCACGTAATAAGTCCTATTTAAGTTTCATCAGAATCATGTGGTATAGCTGCTTGCACCAATTACTGTGGGCCTGAAAAAGTTCCTTCCCTAAACACCGCTTGAGATGATAGACCAACTGCTTTCAAACAATCGGGTGGGTTTGAATGACACAAGGCCGGTGGCTAGTTAACAACTTGCCCTTCTCAACTGAGATAAGGTCTCAAATCACAGTCAGTGTGGCCTTAGCAGTTTTTGCAAAACACAGGTTGGCAGTCTGCCTGGAGTTTGAACTCACGACTTTCCATACAGCAGACCACTGTCATTCCAACCGATCTGTGTGGTGCAGCCCATAATAAGCTCCAAATAAGCATTGCACTCAGAAAAAATACTATAAAGAAGTAAATCCCGCATTGCCTTATTGTTATTGGTAAAAATTGTCAAATTAGACATGTTAGATGTCTTCATGCAGTTATGGTTTTTGACCAAAAGAAAGAAAAAGAAAGAGATTACAAGACACCGTGTCATTCACAAAAGAGACTGAGGCTTTTTTAAAGAGGTAGTTGCCCCTAAATAAGCACTGCTTAAACAAGTAAGTGCCATAGTGCTCTTCTGAGTAAAAAGGAAAATGTAGCTACAGCTGCAATAAATGCAATAACGTATTATTCTGTGTTCTAACCTGGTCCGCTGTCTTGGCAGAAACATAATAACTGAAAGGTAAATGAACATGTTAAACTTGCAGGGTTTGAGGATTTAAATGTTGTTTTTAGCATATGATTTTAATGATTTTTTTTTTAGTATTTGTGTTATTCAAAACTTGTGGTGACAGAGCCTACAACGGTTAAACAATCTGCAAAGAAAGCAGCATGTCTTCCTTTCTTTTGTCTTACAGAATTTAATATTATAGAATTAAATAGAGACAAAGGCTGTGCCAGCTACTCAATGGGATGACTCCACTACTAGACACACATTAGCTGTGATACCACAATGGAGCTAACATGTACATGTACAGTGTATTTTCTATTGTGTTTAAACTGCAATTCATCCTTGTACAACTATACCTTTGTTGTAGTCATATTCTTGGTTTGCAATCACTTAATGAATTTTTACCTGATTTGTGAAGTTGCATAACCCTGTTTAGTGATTTAGTAAAATTCTACATTTTTATTAAGAAATTTAAAAGAAACACATTTTCACAGAAAGGACGCACCATGAGCTAAAGTGCAGGACTGTCACTGAGATTTCAACTTGTTGTGTATATTATTTAATTAGGAGGCAGAAAATTGGAGAATTACATGTTGGAAGTTCTTTTGGTTCTTTTTGCCTTTTCTTTCCTTTGAAAGTAACTGGGGATCATGCTCATAAAGGCCAGGGAAAAACCCTAGTATCCAGTCTATAGTAACATGCCTGGTTAAGCGAGATATTACATGTAATTTCTAAGGGCTATTATCATTATTATTTCTTAAGTTATGTATTGTGTTGTCTTACCTTGACATCCCGTGTTCTTGGGCAAATTTCCCATGTCGGTCTGATCTTACTACTCTCTGATGTTCCAGATCAACTGAAAGATATTAATATTACATTGCAATAAAGTTTTAATCATTATTAATTACTAGGTCACATGGTTTGCATAGTTTTCAGCTTGTACGATATAAATAATTACTTCCAATTTAGTAGTTTTATAAGTGTTATTCAAATAATCCCTGGAAAATTTATCCAGTTATGAGCCTCTTTATACTCATTTTGTTGTGTTTGTCTTTATTAATTATCAGGCTGCCTGGGTTTGGCACTATATGATTTACTTTAACCAAGAGCTAATGTCTTATGCCCCCTAATTTGCTTTCAGGAGGGGACATGAAGCTGTTTTTTTTTAAATACAACTTACTTTTATTTGCTACAAGGGCAATGTGTGGCAACTTAGAACCATCTTTATCACAAAGTTTCTTCACTGTTTCATACCAGTCTTCAAGGTTATCAAAACTGTTTTGATTTGTTACATCATAGACAAGTAATACAGCCTGCAAAAGAAAAGTTGATAATGTTCATGTAGCTTGAAAAGTAACTTTTCCCTCCGAGTGGCGCCTGAAGAACAACAAAGTTTCTTGGTCTTGTCCTCATGTCACAAGTGAGAGAGAATTAAGCACATCTATACAGATCAATAATTTTTATACAATCCATTAATTGAGTTATCAGAAAACAACTGAGACGTATGGCCTTTTTTCTTCTTGTATTACCAAAACTGTATTGGTTACATTGATTTTGACTGCTTTGTTTTATGTTACAAGTACTGTCATACTACATTATCAGGGAAGGGCAGCCCTCAACAAAACATGGCAACCATAATTTAGCTGGTGACCATGTGTTACTTGTGCTTATATGTAACTGCCCGGCCATGTGAGAGGAGTCAATAGGGTTAACTGTCTAGTGCAAAGTGACCATTTTTAGCTGTCATAATCCTATAAATAGCAAAAATATACAAACTAGTAATAGTTCACACTGCATTCTGTATTCTTGCTCGTTGTGTAGCTCTTTGAAATATACCAATTCATAATGTAGATGTTCACACATATTCCATACAATAGGTGAGATAAATTACAGGAAATAAACGCCAGGTTCCATGCACAGTTTCGGTTCGATTTACACAGCTTTGATCAAAACATTCTCAGTTTTGAGAATAGTTTATTATAAACCATAAGAAAAGATTTAATTAGAAGTTTGATTTTTTGCTATTTCTATTTCACTTTTTACATTTAGTTCATTTCATTTGCCGGAAAGTAAGCCTTAAAAATTACAAGGACTTTTGATCAATTCATGCTCGCAAGCTCTATCTAATCATCTAAACCTTGAAAATTTTGAAAAGTTATCAATTTTTACTACGGATCATACCTCAAGCACCCACCTTCTTGGCGCCGTTGGGATGGCCAAAAGGTAGCCATGGCCATTTGATAAAAGTGGCTGCTTAATATAGGTTTAATTTACAATTATTTTCTCCAATATCAATTTTGAAACTTTGATTGCTTGCCGTTGAATGGATGGTGGCTGCTTAACAGCCTTAAATGACCAATTAATGGAGGTTCAACTGTAATTCTATTTTGCAATGATATCATTATGTATACATGTAACTTAAATAGAAAGTTACTGAAATTAGAACTTACGTGAGCTCCAAAAATATATTTTTCTAACATTTTCCCACCCAGAGTTTGTCCTCCAATGTCCCACACTTGTAAAGTGACGTGCACATTTCCTATGGTAAATAAATAAATAAATAATTCCCTTATTCCCCTCGGCAGTATTTATAGCACTTATGCTAGTTGGGCCGAGCAAATGACTGAAACAAATAATTCAAATCAAACATAACAGGGTTAAGAATCCCAACTGGCCTGGCAAACCAGCTGGCTATTTACATGTACAAGCATGGTTGAGGATTTGAACTTGGGACTACTGTGAACAAATTCAGCGAGCAGTCAGAGCGGGACTTGAACTTGGGACCTCCATATTGCGAGTCCAGTGCTCTAACCGCTCAGCCATACTGCCTTCTCCAAACAGCCTCCAGCAAAACAACCACAATTCACATTTAAAGGATTGATGATATAATTAAGCTAAAAAAATCCCAAGGGCTTCAAACAAAACCCAAAAAAATCCCTGGACCAAACTTTAACCCCCCAAGAATCCCATCCCGAATTTCCCAGCCATAAAAATTTCCAGAAAGCATTAACTGATATAACACGAAAAATAGAAACATTAGTTTTGAATACCCAAAAAAATACTTGCCAAAATTTTCCTACCCAAAAAAATTGTTTGATCATCCCTGTCAATTGAAATCCGGAGTACCCCTCTTTGGGTCAAACTAGCTTTAAGTTTTATACATCTCATCACAAAAATATATAAACATACATGCCCTAGCCTTAGGAGGCAAAGGACATTTAGGATCAACCTAGATTAAAAACTCTTTTTGACCTGTATTATATACGAACCTGGTAAAACAATCCTCGCCAAAAAGAAGTCCAGTCCAAGCGTTTGCTTATAGGCTTTGTCAAAATTTTCCTGCGAATACCTCACACATATGGACGTCTTAAAAACAACCCAAAAATCGTGCATTAGTACACTTTTATAAAAGACGTCAAAATGTAAGCTTAAATGGTGGTGATACAGTTGTACACAAAACTCCACTCATCTAAAAAAGCTTTACTTTATGACTAACAATCACAAATACCTTTCCCGATGCACCATCTCCTAAAAGAACAAACTTAAGCTGATGATCTGTCGCTGTTTCTTCCTCTGAATCGGACATTTCAATGAGAAAAAAGACCACAATTTCACCACAATTTTACGGCCATGTTTGATTCTGAAGTACTTTTGTTTGTCGTGACGTCACAGTAACAAGTTACTGTCCATAAGAATCGCCGGCTCTGCAATTTCCCTGTTGTGTTCAAAATGGCGGTCAGGTAAGTGGGTTCCTCTTACTACAAGCAGTTTACGCCAAAATGCATGAAAATGCGGTAAGATTCGAAGATTTATAATAAAGGGCTTCTAGTGAAGCTCTTCATTGTCAAAAATTGACGGATTTTCTCAGAAAGAACCTATCTCCCTGGGTATCTCTGATTTCCATATGGAGTAATGTATCGGTCAAATCGAAGCTTCAACATGCCCCCCCGCTCGGGTATACCCCGGGCATTTGACACTTTTGCCGTCCCGGGGAGGAGGGAATGTGATTACCAGAGTCTTCCAGGGGGTGGGGAATTTGATCCCCATGTCTTAGGGGTGGGGAATTTGAACTGCACCCTGGATTTCATGTGAAATCTTTGGCGTGGCGAGCTATCGTGGGGGACGCGGTGTTAGAGGATTTTCGTGGAAAAGATTGTGCCTTTGTGACCAATTGGTTACGAGGAAAGGACTTAAACAGGCTTTGTGCCGTATTTGAAGGATTTAAATTTTAAAATTTTTAATATTGGATTCAGGCTTTGAATGTATGAATGTATTTTATTGTTGTGGTGGATCTTGTTTACTGTGGGTAATGTCGACCGAGACATCGGTCGATATAGCGGCCGATATAGCGGTCGATAGTCGGTCGACAGTCGGTCGATAGTCGGTCGACAGTCGGTCGATACTCGGTCGATAGTCGGTCGACAGTCGGTCGATACTCGGTCGATAGTCGGTCGATACTCGGTCGACACTCGGTCGATACTCGGTCGACACTCGGTCGATACTCGGTCGATATAGCGGTCAATAGTCGGTCGATAGTCGGTCGACACTCGGTCGAGACACGGTCGATAGTCGTTCCAGATGTGTCTCGGCCGATATAGCTTTTCGTTCGCCGACACTTCGCTGACACTTCGCCGACACTTCGCAGACACTTCGCCGACACTTCGCCGACACTTCGCCGACACTTCGCCAACACTTTGCCGACACTTTGCCGACACTTCGCCGATAGTTGGTCGATACTTGACCGATGTATCGGTCAGTAATTGGTCGACACTCGGTCGATGGTCGGTCGACACTTGGTCGATAGTCAGAAGATAGCCGTTCGATATATCGGTCGAGAGTCGGCCGATAGTCGATCGATATATCGGTCGAGATTTTTGTCGGTCTGTATGGTTTTTAGTCCGTTATCAATAGCCCTGGAGAAGAAATTGGACCAAGATTACTGAAATATGAACCGATTGCCCCATTTACACGTGGAGATTCTTGAAAAATTCGCATTTTTGGACATTTTTGGTCAGTTTTTGGTCCAAACTACTCAAAATTAAACATGAAACCATGCCTTTTTTTGCAATAGCATCCCGTTTTGTGACATTTTTTGGTACTGGCATGCCAAAAAGTCTTAACCAATCTCTTTAGACTTTTCTGCTTTTTTTTTTCGCTTTTCCTTTTTCCCTTGTTTTCGTCATTTTGCTGCCGTTGTTAACTGCCAGTCGACTGCGAACTGCCAGTTGCCAGTCAGTTCAAGAATTTTCGAGGAAGCATCATCCAAAAGGGAAATTCTTACCAAGCGATGAAGAGGGCAATTTTTCCTCCGTTTTCAAATTTATAAACCTTTTCTGTATATATTTGAAGCTCAATATCACTCTGCTTTGGGTATCATTGCCGGTTTGTTTTCTCTGCCTTCAACAGGTTTTTTATTACAGTAACAGGTGCCTTTTTCATGTAAACGCTTGGTAGAACATGATGAGGGTTATGGCGCGCCAGCCAAGGACGGCAGGGGGTGATCCTATATGTATTTAGTAAACACTAAAACAGTGGATAGCGTTGTGCGCGCTCTCTAATTGGCTACTGAAACATGGGATAACAATTGCTATTGCGCGTATAAATTGCAATCATTTACGCGAACAAATGTGTCAAAAATCATTAATTGCTACCTTATTATAATCTGAAATTTTCGCGACACTGTAATGTGGCAGGGTATTCTACAGTTACTTCAATTAATATTTTCAACAATATTAAACTGAACAATGAAGTTAACGTTTAGGGGTCGACACAAAAGTAATATAATATTACCCTCTTTGCCCTTTCCCTAAAAGCGGACTATTATGATCCAAATGCACAACTTTACGATGAAAGTCGCCCCGGTATCACTTAAGCCAACTTACGCACCGCTTTTGTTGCTCAACAAGTCAAAAGTTGAGACAATCAATTAAAAGTTAAGATTTTTACGTCTCACATAGCCTGTGAACAGCAGACGCATTTTCGGTCGTCGCTTCTCTCCCTCCGAAAAATTTTCTAGCGACGACCGGAAATGCATCTACTGTTCACAGGCTACATCTCACATGACAAGAGAATGTAGTAATTTACGGAGCTCTCCAAGTGACATCAAATAAGCCGTTCTATATTCATTTTCTTCTTATATTTTTCTCGGGCACTGACATTTTGCTAAAAAGAAATTTTACACAAATGCGTCCTGGTGGATGGGTCTTGAGCTTCCTTCCAAAAGAATCTAAGGCGCTCGTAGTTCTAATATTTGCAGGTAATTTGTTCGAAAGTTTGGGCGCGGCAACTGAGAAAGCTCGGTCTCCATAGGTGGAGATGAAGGATCTGGGAACAACTAGAAGACCTTGTGTCGCAGAAGGCGGCAAGGAACGTGTTGAAACATACGTTTTTAGCAAATCGCTTAGATAATCCGGAGCAAAACCATCAATGATTGGATCTTGTTTACTCCGTTGTGGTTACAATGAAATACAATACCAATACCCATTACCGGCGATTCAATACAACAACATAAAATAAAATAAAATAAAACGGTCAACTACTTTGACCTACTGCAATTATGTTAATTAATAAGGTGAGCGATGATGCATGTTAGTGATGGTCATGATGTAGTAATCTAGTAATCTCAATGGGTGGGATATTTTTATATAGAACGCTTTGTTGTATCCCAGGGGCCCCACTCACATATTTTAATGACGGGAAGGGGGGGTCCGAAGGATTTTTTTGGGTCTGACATTTTGGCAAAAAGGGATTTTTTGGGGTCTATAAAAGACGCCGGGATTTTTTTGGGTCGTGAAAACAACACCGGGATTTTTTTGGGTAATGTATTTTTCATCAGCTCAAATCAACAATAACATAAACGCAATTTACTGCTTGTGTGGTATTACAGGATTTTTCTGAGATTGTAATCTATTTGAAAAGTAATTACCGGCACTCCACGCGAATCTAATCCAGAGAGAAATATTCAATAGGTCACGCAATTCAAGGCCTTTCAACACCACAATGGAAACACTGTATAGAAAGTAAACATTTTATGAATTAGATGTTTACCCGCTGATGTATATCTATTATCAAATGATCGCGTTGCTATGTAAAAATAAAGGCAAGGAAAACTGATTTTGTAGACTAAACTCAAACCTGGAGTCAATGCTGTTGAGTTCCAGCAAGAGCTAATAGTCAGGTGGCTAAAGGCTCAGATCTATACAGAGCGGACAAAAGCACCAAACTTTGCATGGTTGTAGCTTAGGGCATGTTAATCAATATTAGGATCGGTGCCCACAGCTACCTCTTCAGGATTTGCAGCAACTGCTCGCTGAAGTTCTTCAACAACCTTCCATGATGGGTGTCCTGTGCTAAAAATTGCAATCACTTGTTTTTTGCCATTTTTTGATGAAACTCACGTAAAAAGGGAAGTAGATGGAAAAAGAAACTGTATTAATACTATTATTATTGAAACCAATGACTAAAACAAGTCAACTTAATGATATAGCAATTATGATATACCATGGTGGATATCCTGTGCTAAAGATATCAATTCCTTTTTTTTTGCCATTATTTTGATGAAAATCACATGAAAGACAAGAAAATAAAAAAAGAAATTGTATTATTATTGAAACCAATGACAAAAACAAGTCAACTAAATGGAAAATCCAAGGAAAATGTTTTCAGACGCGTACCCAGTCTCAAATAGCCTTTTAAGCTGGCGGCTTGAAGGTGTCTTTCAATGGACTGTAAGTATCCGCTAGAATAAATTGCCGTTTTTTAGGGGAAATTGTGCACAATTTGAATCACGACAGGTTTAAGTGAAGTTTTAAGCTCTTCTTGGTGATAAATTTGTTATCGAAAGCCACATTTTCGCTTCATATTTTGTGCCGATTGTGAATGACTATACTGAGTTTATTAACTTACTGGTTAGTTAAAGGTTTCTGAAGCTGAGATGTTTTCTACACACCAGGATGGATACTAACTGGGATCGTTGTTATATTTGTCAAGAATCAACAAAAGAAGATTTGAGAAGCCCACTGGTTTAACGGCACAAGCATTAATTTATAGAACGCTTCTTGAAAATTTACTAAAAAGGCTGACGTGCAAAATAGGCATATACATGTCAGAGGAACGCAAGAAGAAAAGTGGAGCAGCTTGGAAGGCCGAGGAAGACGAGAAATTAAATAAATCAAGAGTATTTGTTGAACTCACTGAGTACATAGCAAATGAAGTGGAGAATGATACACATTTCTTTATACTTGCTGAACTTCATATTAAGCTGTATTCGTTACAAACAAAGGCACACACTTCCACTATAGTGTCAGTCTTACAAGCTCGTTTGGTGCCACAATCTCCAACTTGCTGTTTCTGATCTGCTTCAATATTCTTTTTTCTCTTTTCTAGTTTGCTTTTTCTAACTTGGACGTAAGGTGACAGGATTGATGCCACTTTGCACTTCAGTAACGTGTTTCCTACTGTAGTGATTTCAATAGGAAACACTTAATTGCAACAAGACGGCACAGTCCCCCTTCTTGAATTCTAGCAAATTGTCAAGGAGCGTTCCATAAATAATTGATCCGTTAAATTAATGGGTTTCTCAGATCC